GACCTGGCAACTGCGATGTGGATCTGCGTATTGCCAATCTCCCCACCAATACCAATGCAGCACTGGCAAAAATGAAAACCAGCGACCTGCTGAAAAAATACCACGCGATTGCAGCCATTAATGGCAGCTACTATAATACCAGCAGCCCTTATGGTGCAGCAACCTTCCTGCGGGAAGAAGGTACGACCACCGCTACCACTAATGCGGCCCATGGCGTTGGTTACCCGGACGAAAAAGCGCTTGTATTCAACGCAGGCAATACCAATGTTAATGTAGTGAACAGGCCGGCAGCCAACCAGCAGTCGCCTTTTGTAAGTGGCTGGAATGGGTTTACCGGCTTTGAGAATATGATGGCAGGCGGCCCCGGTTTGCTCACCGGCGGCAATGTGACTTATGAGTATGTGCCGATGGACGTATCTCATGAAGGTGCATCGGGCAGCTCTTCCTGGAGATGGCATATGTCGTTCTATCCGTTTACCGCGGCTGGCGTTACTGCCAACAATCACCTGATCCTGGTAACCGGCGATGGCAGAACAGCAAATGTAGGCGGCGTGGCAGGGCTTACGGTAGAACAGGTGGCACACCTGATGAAGGCGCTGGGCTGTACCGATGCGTTAAAGCTGGACGGCGGCGGCTCTACCACCATGGCTATTGAAGGGGCTACTCATAGCGATGTGGTCAATTACCCGAGCGACAACGGCATCTTTGATCATGAAGGCGAACGCTCCAATCCCAATGCCTTGTTATTGGTACCACGCAGCAGAAGAGGCTCCGGCTCTGCGCTTTCCTTCGATGGTAATGATGATCGTGTGATTGTGCCGCACAGTACGTTCGGCAATCCAACCGGAAGTTTCTCGGTAGAGGGTTGGGCTAAGATCGATAACGGCACTAATGATGATGCCATTATCTCCAAGCATGATAATAGCAGCGGCAGAAAAGGCTTTTATATTCAATACAGCTACAGCAGCAATAAACTGGGTGCCGGCATTGGCCGCAGCAATAATAGCTGGGGCGCGATCACGGCTTCAACGCCATCCTGGTCGGCCAACCAATGGCATCACTTTGCCATGACCTATAACCCGGCGACCGACAGTCTTAAGTTATATGTAGATGGTGAACCCGCAGGAGCAACGCTTGTACCCGATCCTGTTTTCAGCACCAACAATCTTTGCATCGGTGGCTCTGATTTTTATCCGGCCAACTCCTTTAAAGGCGGATTGGATGAAATACGCTTCTGGTCTAAAGAACTTACAGTAGCTGAAATTAAACGCGACATGCATCGTAATGTATCCGTTACGGCAACGGGCCTCACGGCTTATTATAAGTTTGATGAGTTCCTGGTAAGCCCGGTAAAAGATTACAGCAGTAACGCGTTGACCGGCACCACCAATGGCGGTATGAACCTGCATAACCTGATCGCTTCCTACGCACCTATTGCCGGTGAAAAATTTGATGGTCTTTCAGCGCTGGGCGCCAATTGGTGGCCTTATAATAGCAACAGTCAAACTGGTACACAGATCGCCGTTGCCTTTAACGCGGAGCCTAAGTACCTGCTGGTAGCACATAACAATCTTACCGGCGATACAACCGCTGGCATTCCGGCAGCGCTAACCAGGAGACTGAAGAGAAGCTGGCTGGCCGACAAATTCGGAGTGGTAACGGAGTCCATGAATTTATCTTTTACCACCACTCAACTGGGCGTTAGCCAACTGGATTCAAACCGGGAATATTTCCTCTTGTTCTCCGCTGATGGCAATGATTATACACCACTTTCTGCTACCGGCACTTTATTGGCTAACAATACCCTTTCCTTCAACGGCATCGCTATCCGCGAAGGCTGGTACACGATTGGCTGGAAACCGTTGAGCTTTTATCATGCACCCGGTAATCGTGCTTTTGAATTTAACGGCGCTGCCAATATTGTAAAAGTACCTTACAATAAATTCGGGGCTCCTGCGGCAGATTTCTCTATTGAATTATGGGCCAAGATCGGCGCTGGTGGCAGCGGAGATGATGCCATTATTAATGCCAATGAAAATGTAAGCGGCCGCAAAGGGTATTATATAGAATACGGTTATGCCAATTCTGCAACGCCGGGCCTGAAGGCTGGTATTGCCAGAAGCAATGGCAATTGGCTGACAGCGCTATACTCTGCGG